CGTGGTTCCCCCCCCCCCCCCCTGGTTCCCCCCCCCCCCCCCCCCCGCAAAATCAAGGTTTGGTTACGCCACTGGTTATAGCTGGACGATTATAGCTACAAAGAGTCGAAATTATTGTTTAATTAAAGCTAGTAAAATATAGCTGAAGTTAATAAATTAAAGTTTTACAAAATCTCTCTTCAGACTCGCACGTTTGCCAAACCTCGACAGCTCACATTTTTCGTTCTGCCTTTTTTCCTTTTTTACTGTTCCATTTAAAAGACGCACTCTAAAAATACCACGCAGGCTAAAAATGTCCTGGTTAATCTAAAATTCACATTCCTGACGGTGACTTAATGTTCGCGATTAAATTTCCTGGTTATTTAACCACAATCTTGGTTAATTCAACCAGGATTCCTGGTAAATTTAACCCATAGATATCTTATATACACTAGATAGTGCGTCTAATTATTCTGCAATTCAAAAATTGAGGCCGTGATTGCAGACTCAGAATTGTATGTTTTCTATTTCTTAAACAGGGAACTTAAACATTACAGTAAGTTAAACCTATTCCAAATACATTTTCAAACTATTCAAATGATGAAAGTTATTGTTCTTTTTTAAGCGTTTATTAGCGAGTGGGAAACTTCAACATGGCCGCCATCTATTCAAATGGAGGTAACCGCTGGATTATTCTTGGCTTCAATTTTACTAAAAAAGATGCGCTATCTAGTGTATATAAGATATCTATGATTTAACCACGCTATATGGTTGAATAACCAGATTATGTTAGGTGGATTCTAAACCAGGAATTCTTGTTTAAAACCCTTGAATCCAGCTAATATCAATGCTATACAGCACCTCTTGGCAATCAAAGATATCTTTATCTAACTTGAATTCTCTATTTGGATGAAGAGAATTCCTCAAATGTTCACATAGCCTGTTTACTTCCCACGTAAAAAGTTCCTATAGACAATGGCACAGAATTGAATAAAACTAGACACGTCCACAGAGGTTAATGTCGCTTCCAACAAGGGTCAAAGCTTTAACATGCAAACTATGTACAGTATATTCCAGGCCTCGAATTTCCATGAAATCAATCGACGGCAATGGCATTAAAAATTGGCGTAGAACGTAACAGCTGCATGTCTACGGCAACTTTGGCAGTTTTCACGGCATTTTTTCAAATTACTGTAATAAAAATTTAATTTTACTGTTACTTTGGATTGTTAAAGTGCCCCTGACACAAAAAATTTTTTTCAGTCTATTGAAAGTACTCATTTAGTATAGTGTTCTAGCGAAAGAATTTTTCGATTTCATCAAAACGAAAAATTTTTAGAGCCGTTTGAATCCAAATATTTTTGGCTAATGGCCGTCGGCGACAGAAGTCTGGCACTAGCATTTATTCTGACGTCACGCAAGTGAGTCGAGTCTTTTAATCAGCTCGAAGGTTTTGATCGCTGAAGTGTTTAACTTTTTATATTCTAAGTTCTATAAAGTATCATATCAACAGAATCAAAAGTATCAGTCCGATGATTCCGGAGCGAATTTTATACCTGGTTAATATGTTGTATTGGAAGATGCTGATCTTGTAACATCTCGTCAGGTCTCTAGTGGTATCATTAATATTACCAAATCTCAATATTAATGATACCACTAGAGACCGTGACGAAAAACTGCCGCTATTATCACAGTTTCACTTCACGGATAAAAACTGTTGTTGGTAAACAAAGTCAGGGACACGAGAAAAACAAAGTAAAACTAGTCTCCCATTTATATTAGCGATTGTTTTTTAGTCGCGCCATGTCTCAGATTTGGCGCATTTTTAATAAGCTTCCTACTAACTGAGACGTTCTATGACTTTGCAAGGTTCATATCTTCGGTTCGGTGCATGCTATGAAGACAAAATTACTACCATTCGATTCAGTGAAACAAAATCTCCTTATTTCTAATGATAGTTTTAGTCAAATATAGTTTTAGTCAAATTGTAGTCAAATAGCTATTTATGACCTTTGGAGAGAGGTCAAGCGGTGTCATAATTCATTATATTACTCAATTAGTCTCAAACAATGTAAAGTAGCCATACCTTTAGCCGACCATAACTTCGGCCCCTTTGGACATATCTTTTTCGTAATAGTCTTATTCGAACCGGAATCCAAAACACTATTTAGAGTGTTATTTTCAAGCTTGTGTCTTCAGATTTGCATCTTTTATTTCGGTATTACAAAATATTTATATTTTTAGCTGGCCCGCAAAACCGAAATACAATTACAAATTGAATAATCAAAACAAAGCAAATCGTCGTCAGTCTTTATTAGCTTCAGATAGTTAGGCTTGCCGAGCCCCGGCAACGAAAAAAATTGCCTCTCGTAATCCGCTGTTCTACAATTATCCGAGCATACAGTCGAAGTCTTTGACAGCACAAACAAACGCTTTGCGCGTACAAAATCAACCCATACTTTTCTTCGTCTTTTAGCTTCCGCGTGTTCGTCATTGAAGTATGGAATATTGTGTAGACTTATTCCATCTTTTAAACATGCTTTATTGGTACAGTTAGCTGCAACACAATAAAAAGGCATATCTTTTTCGATCACAAATCTACCTATATATCCGCCGAGAGTTGATAGTACTAGTATAGTCGAATAATAGAATATACGCCGACTCACTTGCGTGACGTAACAAAAATCGCTCGTTCCAGTTTCCTTCGAACACGGACGCCTGCCAACCAAAAGCCCAAATTTTGCGTGTTCAAACGGCTCTAAAATTTTTTCGTTTTGATGAAATCAAAAAATTCTTTCGCTAGAACACTATACTAAATGAGTACTTTCAACAGACTGAAAAAAAATTTTTGTGTCAGGGGCACTTTAACAGCTGGGGTACAACAGCACCGTTTTCGTCATGTTGTGATAAATGATGATAATATTCCAGCCAGATTCGTCAAGTTGGTCGCTGAACATCTTGCCTGTCCTCTAACTACCATAATAAACAAATGCATTAGCAACGCATATTTCCCAAAGCTGTGGAAAATAGCCAGAGTCTCCCCAATTCCTAAAGTAGAAAACCCAACATCCAGCTACGGCCAATCTCAATACTCCCAGTGTTATCAAAGGTGTTTGAGAAATTGGTTGCTGGACAAATGTCAGAATTCGCAGAGAGAGCTGCGCTGCTACCTGATCGCATTTCAGGTTTCCGAAAGGGACATTCGACAATAAGCGTCCTTTTGGGGATACGAGACGATATCCGTCATGCTATGAAAAAAGGGGAAATTACCTTGATGGTCCTAGCAGACTTTAGCAAAGCATTTGACACTATTTGTTTTAAAAGCACCATTGAAAAGTTTTATAAGTTGGGCTTCTCAAAGACCTTCCTGAAGTGGTTGCTGAGCTATTTATCTGGTCGTTCCCAGTTTGTGCAGATAGACGATAAATCTTCTTCTCAGGGGCGGATCCAGCATTTTTCGTACGTTAGTCAAAGTTTTCGGATGTACAATCGGCGAATGCGCGAGGCACCTAGGGGGGTCTGTCCCCCAGGAATTTTTATATTTTTAAACCTCAGAAACGCAATTTGCATCACTCTGAAAGCAGCTTCAACAAAAAATTAACTTCATGAAATGGGAGATAATTATAGCAACTTGATGTCTGACTGACTCTCACAACTCGCTCCTTAGGGAAAAATAAAGGGAGAAGTACTTGCAGAAATGTGATAATTGTGGAAGATGTTTCATTTTATCAAATTACGGATTACTACTATTATGTTTAACTATCTCATGATAGTACTACACTCATTTTTGTTGCCTAATAGCCTTGTTGAGTCATTGATCACTTGACTAGTAATCACTACAGTGTCATAGTACTCAAATAAACATATAAGTCTTAACATTCACCTATAAAACCTGACCTTTATATCCTATGTATACTGCATTAATGCATTTATATAGGTTATCCTCCATATCAATAGGCTATTAATAATAGCCTTCTGAGTTCTGACTGTCCTTCAACCGCAGAATTACAAATATGCAAATTTGTTGTGTAAATCAAAATTCATAGCTAAATCTAAATCAAGATACGCGTATTCAAGTTACAATTTTACATATGCATGGCGCGCATCTTGTTCGCTTATAAATATTGTTATGCTGTCTAAAACGAAATAAAATTTACATATCACATTAAATTTACCTTATTGCACTTCAGAAAAAGATATCGGCGCCAATACTTCTAATCAAACAGCAAACTGTAGTTCGTGTTATTCGTGGCGCTTACGCCGCTTAGCAACTGCTCACAGAATGGAACTCTCCGATATTTAGCGTTGATTTTCCTCCCAAGATCAGCGCAACAGTCTTGTAAGACAGCTAAATCATTCACTGCAAATGTGGATTGAACCGTTTCGTGAATACTACAAGGACTGGAGCAGCAGACATTTCCGAATTTTCCGTAGATATCTTTAAATTGAATCTTTTGACAAAGCTACAACATGACACTTCGAATGAGCGCGCGCTCGGAAAGACTTTACCACGCGTCAAGTATTAATGATATTCCGACTAATGAAGCGCCCCTGACGTTTGTAAATCGGTCAGAACTCCCCACAGATCAGTCAAAATCGCAAAAAATCGCTTGTTTCCATGGCAATAAGCGTCTAGACCAATCAGAACACTGGATTTTGACTTTTTGACTGACCAACTTTGCGTATGTCAGCTGCTCATTGACTTGACTAAGCTCGTCGGCTCAACCACTTTATGAAATTTGATCACTGGACTACAGATCGATTGGAATGTTAATTGCTAGCGCTGCATGATAATAGTTACTGAACTATTATAAGGTGTCGCTGCATGATAAAAAATAACTGGACTATTGGTCGAATATTTAAGACTTTAATTAAGTTTGCAATTTTTACGTTAGTCGCGTGACTGGTTTGACGACCCCTAGATCCGCCCCTGCTTCTTCTCGTAAACCAATACATTTTGGAATTCCTCAAGGATCGATCCTGGGGCCATTGATTTTTAACCTCTACGTTGCTGACTTGAATGACGTCATTTCTTCTCATACCAACTGTTATCAGTATGCAGACGATACAACCTTGTATAATCATTGCAAAGTGGCAGACCTCACGACTGGGGAAACGAGCATGAATAAAACCCTCACTAAACTTAGCAATTGGTCACAAGGATCGAATCTGGCACTTAATCCAACCAAGACAAAATGTATGCTGTTCACTACCAGTCAGATGTCAACACACCACTCCCTGTCATCGCGCCCTCTGCAGCTTGCTGTTGAAGGGAAAGTACTGGAACGAGTAAAATCAACGAAACTACTCGGAGTACACCTAAAAGAGAATCTAAAATGGGACGCCCATGTGAAACATCTTGCCTCGACGTGCTATAGCACCCTAGCAAATCTCAGAAAAATTAAGAACTTTACAACTTTCACCCTGAGAAAGCATCTGGCTGAAAGCTTAATTATTTCTCGTTTAGACTTTAGTGACATAGTATTCTATCCAGTAACCGAGCATCTACTCAATAGACTACAGCGAATACAGTACTCAGCTGCTAGTTTTGTGACTGGACGTTATGTAAATAGTATTGAATCGATTTTAAAATTGGGTTGGTTACCCACACGTGTTTTACGGTCTAATGCTCAAGTCAATTTAGTTATACCTTTAGTTTCTAATACCTTTCAAGATTGTTCAGCTTCATTATTTAATTCTCTACTAGCTCATATAAAATCATGCACAGATCATAGAGACTTCTCCAGACAAACTTTTAATATTTTAAAGCAACGCTGTCTCACTATTTAATTGTAATGCTTAGGTCTAGGTTTACAACTTTCTTACTATTTCTTTAGATATTGTAGTAGTAGTTTTATCAGGTGAAGAGCCATTGTATGGAAATACTGATAATAAATCATTATTATTATTATTATTAAATGATTTTGTATCACAGTGGACAAAATTGCTGGACTCGGTGTTAAGCCAAATACAAGGTGTCGGAATTGGAATCTTTTAATAGTGGGATTGTCCTTTCGAATGTCATCGAACCAAAGGAACCTAAGCATACAACGATCGGATGGACTAATCTGCACCTGATGAAAGGCCTTTTCAATATCAGAAACAATCCCCACTGGATAACTTCTGAATTTTATTATTGTATCAAATAAAGGCGGTATAAGGTTGGGACCCTTTTGTAAGCATTCATTTATGGATGGACTGTCTATATCCGGCCTTGCTGATCCATCGAAAACCACTCGTAGTTTTGTAGTCTCTCTCTCGGACTTCAACACTCCATGATGTGGTAAGTAGTAACCCTCGTTGTCGTCTTCTTCTGGTACTGATTCAATGATACCACTATTTATTTGCTGCTGAATGACTTTATTATATTCTTCCAGAAGAGTGTTGTCTTTCTTCAGACGTGAATGCAGTTGTCGCAATCTGTTGACACACATACCATATCCTGTCGACTTTGGAAAACAGTCCTGTTTCCAAGGCAGATTAACTTCATATCTTCCTTCGCCTTTATCAAAATGTATCTCGGGTAGAAATTCCGTTGTCTGGGTTTCACTAAATGTATCATTCTTGATACTAATCGATTCGGTCTCCCAGAATCTTTGAAGACTATCTGTCAGGTTATCATCTCGTTTGGTGCTACCGGGCAATAGATATGTTGCAGGTTCTTCTCGTTCGATTACTAAGTGCGATAATGTTGCATTGTTATTTTTTCCAGTGTCTCTCGATGGCCCAGAGAGAACCCATCCAAATTTGCTGTTGACAGCCACTGGACCACCTTCTCCTCTTACAATTTCCCCAATTACAATGTCGTAATAATAATCAGATCCTATCAAGATGTCGATTTCATCATGACTGTTCTCGGCGAGAGAGGAATCAGCAAGATCCAACCAATCCCATCAAATGCGGATATTTATCGAGCTCAATCTTGGTAGGAAGAGGTGAACAGATTTTCTCAAAACAAAGAGCTGAAATTTCGATATCTTTGCCTTCTTTGCCTTTCAAGTTTAAACTGACAACATCACATTTCTGTTTTGTAAATTTATCCTGCCGAAATGTGTTCAAGTTAAGCGTTTCTTTACTGGTTGGAGGCCAAGTCGTTTCTTCAGATGATTGGTTGCGTATGATCTTTGACTACCTCCTTCGCTTAGTTACTGTATTTCGTTATAACTGCTCTGTTCCCACGACGGGTAGCCTTTTTCCTTTCTAATTGATCGGTCATAGCGCTAAAACATAACTTTTTCGATAAACTAAAGGGCACGTTGCCGTGCAAATGCAAATATTGACCATAGCAACGACGTTGACAACCCAGGATTAGCAATTGTTTAGTTTAAAATATGTCTTGATTTTTGTGTCGAATAGATTCCTCGCTATGGAACATACGAAAAATCCTTCAATATACATGTGGAAATTTATCTCTTCCGAGCAAAGATACGGCTGTAACTCTGCCATATATTAATTTCGATAACAATTTTGCCATGCGAGGGACATGAACTATTCATAGCAAGCCAATCTTAATCCCTCTATTGTATCAAACACGTGGAGGGACGCTATAAAAACGCGTAGTCAGCAAGATTCAACCGCTCTTGTTTAAACTCGCCCGCGTGACGTCATTGCATATAATTATGACGTATGATAATGAGTGACGTCACTACAGTCTATGTTAATGATGATGCGCCACAACAAACCACCACACGCCACCACAAAAAAGGGGGTCGAACGGTACCTATATTACTACTTTGGAGCTAAATGTGTACAAATTTGAATCAAATTTTGTCCATACCTCTGGAAGAAGTGCTTCGTAGCGTTTTCGATTTAAAATTTGTTGTTTTGGGGCTGTTCCAGAGTAGAAATTGATTAGTATTGAGAAAGAGACTGCTTCGAGGAACTGCAGGGGCTCGGACTCCCCGAATATGTACAAAACGAAAGTAACTTTATATTTTTGTAAATTTTTGTTTATGTTAAATTTCACGTCTGTTTT